TACAGATCCTGTGACCATGCCATTTAGATGTGGCCTTCTGAATGCTTTCCTGAGGGGTTGCCACTTTGTCCTCACGGTGGCCTGGTATTGTTACTTATATATCGCATAATGAGATAACATGTGCACTTGAACGGAGGAAGGCAGCGTCACACGACAATAACTTCGAGAGGATGCTTCGAGCGCTAGCCCCTTTTAGTAAGGGTCGGTGTCACAAAGCATGAAACCAGGGCCATGCAGCTCAATTGTTTTCTGATATTTTGTTAGTTCCTTCCGTAGTGCCTCTGCAGCTTAGGGATTCGTTCCACAAATCAGTCCCGGAGCCTATATCACTGCATAATGATGTGCTAAAAATTCCGGTCAAAGAATACATTAGGCCTGATTTGTCTAGTTCCCTGATAGTTCGCCTTGGTCTGGTCGTAAGGGCGGTAAGCTCTGACCGGATTTAGGTACCAAAGACATAAGGCCAAAAGACCTCTGCTTTAGAAATACTGTAATAACCTCTTCACGTTGCCTCCATACGGAATGAAATAGTCTACCTGTATAATACAGCGACTTTTTTCCCCTGTGTTCGGCAGCTCTAACCTCCTGGGGCCGCCGGTTAGGCCTGTTGCTTCCCTGGCATCACCTGACACCTGACATTACCTAAGTCCTGGTCATGGAACAAAAGGGTTAAGCCCTTTGTTCTAAGTGAGACTAGAATACACCGAGATCCTTGTGTCATTTATGCGATAGAAATTATTTAATGCAGAGAATTGTTACGATGCATCTGTGTTCCATTCTGTCATATTTATTCTTCCTCCGCGTGGCGAATGGAATAATTTCACATAAGGATCCTTGATGTCCGCAATTCACACTTGGACTTGATCTTTTCTGGCAGAAGGAACGAACACTAGGAATGGCTTAGTCTTATGGCAGACACTGAAGATCGCCAATGAGTGGCGGGGCGAAGAGGCAGCGCTAGCAATGCAGCGCATTCAGTAATATGTCTTTTGTCCCAAGGCCCTATTCTTCCGGGTGGGAGCGTGGGCCCTGCTGTCAGCAGGATGACTGCGACAGGCGACCTGCTCATCAAAGGGTCGGTGGCAGAGGAATGCCTTGTGCGAAGGCAGGCCAACTGAATGGAAGGTCCTTTGAGCCTTCGTAAAGACATCTGGGGGATGTATCTGAGCCCTCCTTGCTGCACTTACCTCCTGGAGCGCGAGCACACATACCTCCCGCAGATGGGCCGCCGGTTGGACCTGCTGCTTCCCTGTGGCAGCTGCAAGCCTAGAGCAATCCAGCTGCCATGGATACAAAACTGAGTCGGGAAATGGTTACAGATATGCCTCTGTTAACAGGTTACTTGATGCCACCCTAGTTGCACCTCTGACATGGTGTGCATTGATGACTCTGGGCAAGTTTCAGCAGTGTCAGTGAAAGCAAGAGGAAGGGGCAAAGCGCAATGGAAAAATAAAAATCTCAAATCCATTAATGTTAGGGAGTTATCGCACATCGCAATCACAACGAAGGTTTTAAAAATGCAACATGGCGATAATAGCAATAACTAGGAAGAGTCATCATTCTTTTTATGGTGGCATGAAAGTTATAATTTTCTATGTAGGGATGATAAAACACCATTCCATCTAACATTCATGTAAAAAATATATTAGTACCATTTTCTCAAAGAAAAACAGGAACAAAAACCTTATCATACATCGATATCAAGAATGAATGATTTATCCCCCCTCTGTAGACCTTATAGAGACGACCTACAAGATTCTCAGTAAAAGAAAGCTCCTCTGTGGCAAATGTATGTCCTATGTAAGAGAGCGAATAACGGTGAGGGAGCTGCGACCAACGCGATCCGGTGATGTTCGTCAGGATTCACGTCTTATTCTGCGTTTTCTGCTGTCGATCTTAGTCGTTAGTGTTTTCATCTGGATTAAAAATTAGATCGAAATAGTAGAAGTACCCACTTTCATTCTCACGATTAGTAATCACGAAAAAATCCCCTAAATACTAATACCGATCCTCCAACCCACTAATCCTAACGCCATTCCCCCTGCCCTTCAAGGTTAAGACAGGATGCTGCGGTTTGGATCCCACAACGGGTCGCGGGAAACAGATTCACCTGCTGCAGATTCTCTTGCTGCCCTTCATCCCCATCATGGCGCTTATAATCCAGAACTCCATCAACATGGTCACAGTCCTCGAGTACCAGTATGACATGCAGGAGACCATCGACCAGGTGAGAGAAAGGGAGACACAGGGAGGGAGGGAGGAAGGAAAGGAAGGAGGGAAGGAGGGAGAAAGGGATGGAGGGAGGGAAGGAAGAAGGGAGAGAGGGAGGGAGGGAGGGAAGGAGGGAGAGAGAGAGAGAGAGAGGGAGGGAGGGAGGAAGGTTAAGAGGGAGGAAGGGAGGAAGGAAGGGAAGGAGGGAGGGAGGAAGGGAGAAAGGGAGGGAAGGAGGGAGGGAGGGAGGGAAGGAAGGAGGGAGAGAGGGAGGGAGGGAGGGAAGGAGGGAGAGAGAGAGAGAGAGAGAGGGAGGGAGGGAGGAAGGGAGAAAGGGAGGGAAGGAGGGAGAAAGGGAGGGAGGGAGGGAGGGAGGGAGAAAGGGAAGGAAGGAGGGAGAGAGGGAGGAAGGGAGAGGGAGGGAAGGAGGGAGAGAGGGAGGGAGAAAGGGAGGGAGGGAGGGAAGGAATGAGGGAGAAAGGGAGGGAAGGTGGGAGAAAGAGAGGAAAGGAGGGAGAAAGGGAGGGAAGGAGGGAGAAAGGGAGGAAGGTTAATGGGGAGGAAGGGGGGAGAAAGAGAGAAAGGGAGGGAAGGAGGGAGAAAGGTAGGGAAGGAGGGAGAAAGGGAGGAAAGGAGGGAGAAAGGGAGGAAGGTTAATAGAGAGGGAGGGAGAAAGGGAGGGAGGGAGGGAGAAAGGGAGGGAAGGAGGGAGAAAGGGAGGGAAGGAGGGAGAAAGGAAGGGAGGGAGGGAGAAAGGGAGGGAAGGAAGGAGAGAGGGAGGAAAGGAGGGAGGGAGGGAGGGAGGGAGGGAGAAAGGGAAGGAAGGAGGGAGAAGGGAAGAGAAGGAGGAAGAAAGGGAGAGAGGGAGGGTGAAGAGTTGAGAGGGTGGAAGAGATGGAGAAGGGAAGGGAAAGAAAAAGGAAAAGAAGGGAGATAAAGAAGGCTGTGGGAAGAGGGAAGGAGAATGGAGAGAAGAGAGTGGTATAGAGATTGAACGGGAGTGGGAGAAAAGAAAGATAGATATAGGGAAAATCAGTTCAAAAATCAGTTTAGATATCCAATATTACAATAGATATATGTGTTTTCTTTTTGCATAGATATGTGAAACCAAATGCAGTATTTGTCATTAAATGGAAGACGCGTTACTTTAGTTTCGAAAATATTCAAGTTAAAAAGAGTGTTTTTAATACGTCACGCAGTGTGGCAGCTGCTCCAGGTCATGGGTCCGAGGATTTGTTAATTTCGTAAGACATTCCTCTCCTTCGTCCGGCCATTCCCCTTCCCCCTGACGCAGCCGTCCCTCCTCCGCCAGGTCCAAATCAGCACGGGCCTGGGCAACGTGACGGAGGCGCTGCAGTCGGAGCGCGCCGAGATCGGGTTCTACCTGTTCACCAACGGCTCGGTGATCCGGGGCAACCTGACGGAGCACTTCGCCTACACCAACAAGCTCCTGGACGAGCTCAAGTGGCCGGTGTTCCGGACGGACCACGAGCTCTTCAACAACAAGATCCTGTTCCGCATCCGCCTCGACGACTTCCGGGACAAGATCACCAAGTTCGACACGCCCTCCGTCGAGGCCGGCATCGCCTTCTACAACAAGGCTAACTACATCTTCCTGGACCAGGTAGGCGGCGGGATGGGGGGGAGGGGGAGAGGAAGAGGGAAAGAGAGCAGGTTAGGTAGATGTAAATGATATGTTAAAAAAGACAGTCTGTTAGAATTCGAACGATACTGATAAATAAAAGGCTAAAACTAAATAACTAAATGGATAGATAAAAAAATCAGGAAAGAAGCATATTGACAGATTGCAGCTAATCACGTCTACAACCTCCCTAGCCCTAAAAAGGATATACAATTCAGTAACAATGACGATACTCAAACTATCATCATGAACACTACCAATAGTAATACCAATGATACTACTAATACTATTCCTAATAACGAAAATAGTAATGATACTGGTGATCATGATATTGATGATGATGATGCTGACGGTAATAATGACTATGATGATGATAGTAATACCAATATAAAAACAATAAAACAACAGCTGACGAGCGAAATCAACGAGAAGGACGCGGCGGGCGTGTGGCGGCCGCTGCTCGCCTACAAGAACATGATTCGCGCCATCGAGCACCTGGGCATCTCCATGGTGTTTGGGCTGCAGTACTTCGGCCGCGGGGAGCTCAACCAGAAGAGCTACATCGCCTTCGTCACCAACGACGCCCTCGGATACGACTTCCTGAACACCAGCCAGAATTTCGAGTTTTGGATCACCGACCGGTAGGAACTTTTTTGAGAGGTTTTGCTCGGATTTTTGTCGTTTTTCATTATTTTGTTGTTTATGTTGGAGCTTTTTTCCCTTTCCATTGGCTGGGTACTGGCGGGACTTTTCCCCCTTCAATTTGTTTATAACTATTTATGTAGACTCCAGGCTAGTACAGTGGTAACGTGTCGGCTTATCCGAGGGGTCGGTGGTTCGCGCCCCGCCCAGGCGCGAGAAGTTGCAATAGTCGCCTGGAGGTTACTGCTGTGACTGGGCACCACGGCGGGTAAAGACAAAGCCGAGTCAGCACCAGCTGACACACGTTAGCGAGTCGACATTAGTCGACACAGGCCGGGCTCCCCTCATAGCCCGGGCGAGGCTCAGCTTTGTATATCGGACTTATCCTTAACTATTTAGGTTGTGTAGTATATTTCTGTAAATGTTTCAAATGGCGATGGAGTCATCTTACTTCCTACTGCGGATTATTATTTTTTTGGGGGTACCCCCCCTTTATACCCCACAA